TTTTTTTTACCAGTAACAAGAAAGGACATTTGCGCTTTTAACTTTGATACACCTGAACAAATTGACCAGACATTTGCGCTTTTTATCTATAATAGTTGTATACCTGTAATCTTTAGAAAATTAACCAAAGTCATGGAAAGATGTTCGCATATTCTTTGAAAGTTCATCCGAACAAACGAGAAATTCAGAAAAAATATTCGGGTAAATCAGACATACTATAAAGAATATAGTATACGTTTCTTGTGGCGCATTAGATTTGCGAGCATTTGAAGATTGATTTCTGTTTACGTTTGCGCCAAGCCTATGCTTACATTTGCGAATATTTTTTAGAGTAAATAGTATTCTGTTTCACTATTTCACCGAATGGCAATTTGATGAATAATTTAATTCAGTTTGTATAATTGTACCAAGACACACACGGAGTTTCGTTTGTCAGAAACTAATCGGGTGGAGGGGGGATTTGGGTACGATGGATTTACTTTCTGTATAGACAGTCAGGGGATATTTCATAGAGATGTGTCGTAAATAATTGCAAAGGTATTTCACCGGATTCCCATTTTCCTCCAAGTCTTTGGGCATTCAGCAGAATCCAATTTATATATTTATATTGTTCCATGACTAATTGCGTGTGAGTAATAAAACGGACTTATCCTGCTCCATAGTAATAGTTGAATAAATATATAGATAATAACTGTGTAGTGTCTTTAAATATCAGCTGTATTTGTACGAGGCTAAGAAACAGGGCGAACTATTACTCCTGTTTCGAGCCGAGTCAAAAAGCGCAAACGTCCCGCGCCGGACCAGACTTAATAATCAGAAAACAATATTTCGTTTACCAATTGAAATACCAGCATCTAGTTGACGAGTGTAATTATTTTAATAAGAATGGACATTAATGCTTTCATTATTTCAATAAGCTAGACGATAAAGACGTTTTCACTATTTGTAGATTTAGAACCGTTAATTACAAGCTTCCAATTGAATCTGGTAGATGGACAAACCCAGAGAAAATCGAACATGTAACATGTGTAATAGAAATGCATTTGGAAATCAATTTCACTATATTTTGGAATGTACATATTTTTAGGAAAGAATGTAGAGATAAAAAATACTGTACCAACATTAACACTCTAAAGTTTAAAGCAGTTAGGAATTTTTCAAAACAATTAAAACTTAAAAAGTTGTGTAAGTTCTTTAGAATCATAATTCAAAAAAAAAATCAATTCTCTCTCTGATAAAATGTAACCTTCAAACCTATGCATTCTTTTCTTCTCTATGAGAAGTTTCTATTTGCTGTTACCTTATCATATGTCTTATAATATTATAATGCATGTTTATGTGTTTCTGTATACCATTGTATCAACAAAGTTTTTTTTCAGAATAAATATATATATATTTTTTTCCCTTTTTTATTCAACACTTTTCCTTCAAAGTTATTAAAATAACTACAAACGTGTGTAGGTAAGTAGATCTCCAAGATAAAAGGACCTTCAGGGGCGTAAATTTTTGAAAAAAGTAAAAGTATATATGTATCTGTAATGCTTAATGCATCCCCCCTGAACATATATGCAAGTGTACGTTTTTTTGTTTGTCTTTTTGTGTGTAAGGGATGTTACCTTCAGTTATAAGGAGTATCGTTCATGCGTACATCATATGACAATATTGGCTAATTTATTGTTTATTTCCTGGCTGCGCTGACATAAACTTAAAAGGTACCAAGATAACGTTATTTATAATCGATTGTTTGATCGGTCTGTTCACAATAGCTATACGTCATTGTACCAACTTAGTGGAGAAATTACCAATAAACGTACCTCGCGATCGATTGTGAATGATGCCCAGCTTAAACTGTAATGTAGCCGATTAGGTTCTATTCTCAATCTTAAATTTGTATAAGAAATCAAAACTTATGAACGACGGAAAATAGAACTGATTTTGCTATAAAGCACCTAGTCGGTTTGGTATTACATGTATACGATAATCAGATCCAATGGCATTGAACTATTATAGCCCTATTCGCCAACAAAAGAGAAACTGAATGAGTCATGCAAATCCAATACTTGCTGTAACAATTAAACATATATATTACCATATAATTAAATAAGTTGAACGTTTTCGTAGCATCAGATCTTTCACGATCCTTTTCACGATCTTCGAAAAGCGGTACACGAACTTTCACGATCCAAAAAATCAACGTTTTGTAAATATTTCCATTTTTACAAAATTTCTGATTATACTAACACAAATAACTGTGAGAACCATTTGAATCATTAAAATGGTATGACAGTTTTCATCAAAAAGTTGTTTAGTCATTCGAATTATGAAAAAAATCTTGTTTGTTTACATTTTTAATGTCAATGAAATGTCGAGGAGCAATCTGCCTTTTGTAGTTTTGTAAGAACGGTTTACTTTTAAACCTTGATTTTTCTCAGCTACTGATCATTATGTTGAACCATTTTTATATAGAAAATGGTGGTTTAAACCTAAATATATAAATAACTATGCCTCCAACTTGTATGACAGTTGTTTTTTAGAGAAAGATCGAAAGAATCTAATATAATTAATTTCTTGCAGTGGGGTAGCCTACAAAATAACAACTTAAGCAAGATTAATTAAACTACATTTACAACAAAATAACGGGAGTAGGAAGAAGTTCAAAAAGACGTGTTGATCAAATCAGATGGGCACACTAGCGGTAAACATACATTTTAAAGTATCCCTCTAAACAAAGATTTCTATCAATATCATCTACATTTGGTTTATTTATCAATTGTAAATAACAAAGCATACAAATAGATATAAGAAGATGTTGTATGAGTGCCAATGAGACCACTCTCTCATCCAAGTCACAATTTGTAAAAGTAAACCATTATAGGTCAAAGTACGGCCTTCAACACGGAGCCTTGGCTCACACCGAACACCAAGCTATAAAGGGCCCCAAAAATGACATGTGTCAAACCATTCAAACGGGAAAAACAACGGTCTAATCTATATAAAAAAAAAAGAGAAACGAGAAACACTTATGAACCACATTAACAAACAACAACTACTGAGCATCAGATACCTGGTTTTAGAAAATATCACAAATTCGTACTTCATATGTCTTTTGATTGAGTTAAGCCATTTCAATTGATATTTTATAGTGTGTCTTGCTATGTTGTGATGTTACACTATTGTTTCAGGTAAGGGTGGAGGTTGGTACTTATTAAAACGTTTAAACCCGCTGCATTTGTTTTCACCTGTTCTAAGTCAGGAACCTGATGTTCAGTGGTTGTCGTTTGTTGATGTGGTTCATGAATGTTCTCGTTTCTCGTTTTTTATATAGATTAGATCGTTGGTTTTCCCGTTTGAATGGTTTTACACTAGTCATTTTGGGAACCCTTTATAGCTTGCTGTCCGGTGTGAACCGAGGCTCCGTGTTGGAGTCCGTACTTTGGCCTTTAATGGTTTACCTTTACAAATTGTGACTTGGATGGAGAGTTGTCTCATTGGCACTCATAACACATCTTCTTATATCTATATTCTAGCTTTTTAACAAGGACAATCCAAAAGTGTCAATGTATTTGGTAGTTAAATTTCAATAATTCTTTGACAAAATGCTATATAACCGGGTCGTCATGAGATTCGAGTAAACATATTTCTAAAGTTCTCACCACCATTCGTTTTACAGTAAAAGATGACGTTAAGAAATATTGCGATGATTTATATACAACCAGTCTAACTGATGTCGATTCTTAAATATTCTAAAGATCTTAAATCACAAATTTTAAACTTTTGAAGTAATGTCAAAACCTTTCCATGCTTTCTACGCTATAAGTTTATAATCCCAATTCTCAACCGAAAGATCGCCTAAATCATTTGAAGCGGGATTCATAAAGAACCTCCTGAAGACATAACGTAAAAAAAAAACATCTAGCAAGGTTCTTGTATTTCACTGTCGGATGTATTGATGTTTTCCTGAAACTCAATAACTTACATTTCTGTGAGTGCTTGCATCGCATATACTCAAGTGAACTTAAGATTAGTTATACAACAGGAACTAGAAACTTGATCTTGATCTTTTCTTCCATACAGACTCGAATTTTTTTTGAAACGTGGCGAATTTAACTTTCCATTTGAAAATCTTTCATTTCTCAGCAGTAAAATATCCTCTATTCCATCGTTTGTCATAAAAAAAACACCGTGTGTGCATGTTCAAACTATACGGACTTTATAAACAGTGATATAGCTATGAGTTAGAACAACCGAAATGGACACAACATCAGCTTGACGGTCACAATTACGAATTGTTTGACTGAGAATATGCGTCTGTGTCTCAACTAACCAATTTAACAAATGTGTCCTATTTCCTATTTTTAATGTTTGTAAAAGGATTGATTTGCATGGTGGGCGATACATGCACAGCTAGAGACGGTACCCATTCAACCTGAACTACACACCCTGTATTTCTTCTTTGGGTGAGATTTCATCCGGGTTTTTTTCACCTGGATTTATCTTCTTTGTCGTTTTATGACATTTTAATTTGACATGGATAATCAACAGTTACTGCTGCATCAATTTACAATCCCTACTAAAAGACTGCTTTTGTGTTTTGGATATGAGAACACAAATATAGAAGTTTTATAATTTTCTAGAAATAAATATGTTTGATATGTGAATTTTTTTCTACTTAACTTTGGTTAACATGGTTACAGTGAAGACAAATTTCAATTAGTTAAATTTGTTCATATTATTTGTTTCGTTTCTTAATACCTTAAAGTCAAACTTAAGCGAAGACAATTGCCTTTTTTATTGTCGAAGTGACTTTGATTTTTCGGAAATCTTCAAAATGAAATTTCACACATCAGATCTGATAAGATACTAAAAATGTCGCAGGTAAATATGATCACTTTTTGATATACACTTTGTAGTGTCGATATATATTGTACTATTCTTCAATACGACACAAAGTTGCACGACTTAAAAATAAGAAACACCACACTTTATTTGAAATCGTCCTTTATTATAATCAATATATATATATATATATATAGTCTCACACCACCGATGATAAACTAATCAATATCTACAGTTGTATACAGACACGGACTTGCAACTGTTATTAATAACAAACAGTTGTGTAAAGTCATTGTTAAAACACATTCCATACGAATGGTTAATTCCATCGTCTTCGTTTAGCATTTCCTCACAGTTTTTCCCGTCTGATGACATTCTTTGTATTTTGTTGTTGAAGAAACCACCGTAATAAACGTTACTTTGTCTATCGCGTGTTACTCCCGCTGTACCTGAAACTTCCTTACTGTATACTAATGTTCCATCCATATTGATACATATGAGTTTGCCAGGACATCTAACGAAAATCTTATCATGACTATCTTCATATAAAATAAAGTCAATATAACCAGATCCTAGTTGAATTGTTTTTAGAAATTTTCCATTTGTGTCTAATGTTTTGATATTACCTTTACCACCAACGTAAACTCTGTCACGTCCAGCAGTGATACCATAACATGAAAATCCAACGTTAACTTTGTCGCCTTTTGTTATCTGTTTAGTATTGATGAATTGAATAGCGCTCTCTTCAGGCAAGGTAACAACAGCTCTGTCTGTACCAGGTATAACAGCAATGCTGTAAGGTTTAGCGGTTAATATAATCTCTGTCTCATAATCTTTACAGTCTCTGTAGACATACAGTCTCGGATTTAGATACGAATTATTAGTAAGGAGCAGCTTATTGTCCATCGTGATTGATAAATCGTTCAGAGCATATTTCAACTCAGTTTTTAGTGTCAGTTCCGTATCCTTTTCAAACCCAACAATCTTGTTTTGTTAGTTCTGTCCTGATCTGGGCCTGCTGAAATTTCTTGGATTTGTAATAAACTTGACACGGTTTTACAGTCTGTAACAGTGGGCCGAAATAATCAATCTCTATATATTTCTTTTCATCGAAGGTTATTTCGATTTCTTGTAAATTGGAAACGATCTGCGGAACTTTTGCTTCGTCGGTTTTTGTATTTGCAATTTGTTGATGTAAGGATATAAACAGCTGATTATTAGACCCATGATCTTTCAGAAAATCAATTTCGTTCTCATTTGATTTTAAACTTTCTAAAGCAGATAATACTTCTTCTTTTTGTTTGTTGATTTCTATCTCGTGTTTCCTTTGAAGAGATGACAGTTTGGCGTGAAGATCATGTTCTAGATTATCTATGTGTTTCAATAATCGAGATTTGACTTCACTGATCTGTTTTGTTATTAATGATTTACTTTTCATAAGTAATTGTAAGTTTGACTCTCTGTTATTGTATAACTCCTTTAATGTTGTAACCAGATGTTTTATGTCCTGCATTACGTTGGTGAACAGTGCAGATTGTTTAACATCCATCGAGGCATGTTCTAATGGCAGAACGTTTTCACATTTCCTGTGCTCCTTAGGAATACACGCTCTACAGCAAACGATCTCATGATCTGTGCAGTAATAATCCAAAAGCATGTCCAGATGGACGTTACAGGTTTTCTTCGCAAATATTGGAATATTGGAACCGATAGACGACAAATCGATAACATGATGAGATTTGAATGCTTTGAAACGAGTATGTGACGCAGCGCAGTCTTGGCAAAATCGCTCTTCACAGTCGGAACAATACAGTGTTGCTGATACTGATGAGTTGGCCTCAGTACACGGATCACAAAAACTCGCTGTAGCCATTTAAGTAGTCTGAAGAAAAAAAATTAATTTGTTATTGACGGAGTTTTACAACATTAAATATTTTACTTTCTTAATCTTAATATACAAAATCATTAAATGTCCCTTATGTCGCGTTTTAATAATTTCGAAGTGTTAATCAGTTTTCATATCAAGTATTATGAAAAAGCGGTATTTCAAAATCACAAATTGAAAACGCTTGATATTCTATTTAGCTAAAAGAAGAAGAAAATTGAGATTTACTTGGACAGATCAAACTTTAAATGACCATAGAAACAAATTTTTGCCAGCACAATCAATCTTTATACTTTCTTTAACATGTTAATTTAGAATTCCATTTTTCCATGTTCATAGCATTATCTTGAATTTCTTTCCTGTGCAACTTTATTTAAAAAAATTACTCTGCTTTACTATATTTCAAATTATGATTTTTCAATTATTGCTAGTTCTTATTTGTTGATAACTACCCAAATAACAATGTTATTACCTATATGTCCTATTATTATCAGAGATTGTTCGTTGAATATAAATATAGTGGTCCAAACACAAAATATAATTGATAGTTTTGTCCCACCCTCCTTTTTCTATATTTTGGAAAAGGATTGTGTTTTGATAAAACTCATACTTTTATGTAAACACTTGGATTCACAAGAGAAATTTATGTATCTTTAAGCTAGGCTACTTGCTAAACTTGATGAAAATAGCGTTTCAAGTGAGATTTTGGAATTCCTACATAAGTAAATACAAATTTCCTTCGAAATAATTGATACAATAAGAGATCCATTACAACATGAAAACTCATTGATAATTCGACAAAAAGCTATATTTTTACTATCAACCAGTTATAACATACATGTTCCATTTAATTTAGTCTTAAATAATGCAACAATTTAAACTTCAGGTTAAGTGTTAACTGTATGCATGCTGAATGACAAAAACAAAAGCTGAAATATTATATTGAAATACACGAGTTGGTTTCCCGTTATGGGATATCCGTTTCACAAATGATAACGGATATGTTCGTAATGTCGTAACTACAATCTCGTCCTCCTTTTCTGAATGTGACTTACCGAATTAAACTTATTACCGGGTTAGTACATTAGCAACACAAAGGGTGTCACATGTGGAGCAGTATCAGCTTACCCTTCCAGAGCACCTGAAATCACCCACAGTTTTTGGTCGGGTTCGTGTTGCTCAGTCTTTAGTTTTGAAGCTATTTTATGGCTAAAATCTGACACCATTATTTTTGTAACATAAAAAAATGAATGTAACATGACGACAAACAACAAATGTGATAAATTTTCTTCAAAATGGGTATGATTTCTAAAATTTGAATTTCACATGCCTTTAGTTTAAACATATTTTATTTTCTAAATATCAGCAAAATGGATGAGACACAAGTAAATCATACTTATGAAGTCTTCTCCATATTACAATACAAGTATATATACAATAATAACATTATGAGCATGCATGTAAAGCTAAAAAATACATTAAATATTATACGAACTATAAATAAAAAGAAAAAAAGAACAAGAAGAATGGAAAAGGAGGAAAAGAAAAAGAAGCAAATTATATTTTCTGTGATGTTGACTTAGGTTTGATGGTGATGATCATCCGTGCCGGTAGCAATAATATTTTATGAAGGTACTAGAAATCAGTTGGACCTTTTAATAAAATCTTGAACATGTTTGAAAATTAGGAGATTTTGTTCATTCGAAAGTTCAAGATCTCCGCAAGTTAATAGTTTAGTATCAATAATAAAGTTTTCAGTAAGCCAATTAAGATTGTTAAGTAAAATTTCTCTACATGTAGTGTATTTTGGGCAAACTAAAAGAAAATGATGACCATCCTCAATATCAGACCCACACTGACACGAAGGATCCAGTATAATGTTAGCTTTGAAAAGGTCAGAGTTCAAAAATGAAGCGGAACATCGCAATTGAGTTAAAATAATATTCAGTTTCCTCGGACCGTACATATAATACGGCGCAACTCTACTCTGAACACTTTCATTTTTCAATTCTCTCTTAAATTTAGATATAGAGTCGGTGTTTCGAATTTTTAAGTCAAGCTTATTCCATTCTCGTATTGTGGATGGAATAAAAGATTCAGTGGTAAGGGAAAGTCTACAAAATGGAACAATGATATTTTGACCGTTTCGCAACGGATAGTTGGTTGTACTTTCTATACTTGGGGGGACAAGATTACACAGGTACTGAGGTGCATGTTTTTTATTTATATTATAAAACATCTGTAATTTTCTTCTTCTTCGTCTTTCATATAAAGATTCCCAGCCAACCTCAGAGTACAGAGTATCAGTTTTAGTGAAGATTGGTAGACCTGTTACAATTCTTGCGGCTTCCAATTGCAAATTTTCTAATTTATTTGAATAACAGATCCCACAATTATCCCACACTTCCGTGGCATATTCAAAAATGGGTCTAATAAAAACTAGATAAAGTTTTTCTAAATTATTACGAGACAGTCGATATTTAAGTTTACGCAGAACATTAAGGTGTTTCTTTACACTTGTAATTATACTTTCAATATGATTGTTCCATTTTGCGTCACAACTAAAGGTAACTCCCAGGTGCTTATGCGATGTATTTATAGGGATAGTTTTATCATTTAGGGAAAAGTTGAGATCTGGTATCTCAATATTTGAAAATATCATAATTTCTGTTTTATCAGGATTAAATGACATAAGCCATTTAGTTGACCAAACATCCAGCTCTTTCAGGTCGCGGTCGATCACAGATTTAATCTGTTCACCATCGCTACCGGAATAACTGAATGAAGTGTCGTCTGCAAATAGCCTACACAGCGATGTAAGCTTATCAGCAATATCATTAATATATAAAACAAAGAGAAGAGGGCCTAAAACAGATCCCTGGGGTACACCTGCTGACACATTACAAAAGGAGGAAAACGAATTATTCAGTACTACTCTTTCTTTCCTGTCATGCAGATAATCTTCAAACCACTGTAATAAGGTTCCATCAATACCATAGGCTTTCAGTTTGTGAATAAGACCTCTATGCCAAATTTTGTCAAACGCTTTAGAGAAATCACAGAATACAAAACAGTTTATTTCTTTTTTTTCCAAAGAGTTTAAGATGCAGTTGTAAATTTCTAAAAGTTGATGGACGGTTGAATTTTGGGGAAGAAATCCGGATTGATATTCATAAATTAATTTGTTAGCGTGTAGATGATTATACAAGTGCTTAAAAACAACTCTTTCCATTACTTTTCCAACACAACTAATAAGAGAAATTGGTCTGTAATTTGAAGGCAAAGATGAATCCCCCTTTTTGAAAATAGGTATTAAATTAGCTATCTTCCAACTGGTTGGATATTTGCGTTCTCTTAAAGATTTATTGAATATAATGTTTAGCGGAACTGCAACCTTTTCCGGACATAACTTAAGCATTTTATGGCTGATCACGTCTGGGCCTGATGCCTTGTTCGGATCTAATATCTGGATAATATCTATGATTTCTTGTGTATTTATTTTGATTTCCAAAAATTTACTATCAGTTTTTGTTTTAAATTCGGGTAAATTTACATGTTCTTCATCAAGTTTTGAAATCATACTAAAATATTTGTTTAATAAGCTGCATTTTTCCTCATTTTCATATACGACATCGTTTAGTCCATTATTATTTATAATATTTTGGAGAGGGGGTATGTTGTCCGAATTTTTATTTGATTTAATCAACATTTTCATAAGTTTCCAATACGTTTTTGAGTTCTGGGAGTTTTCTAGTATAATACTGTCCAAATTTGTTTCAAACTTTTCTTTGGCTATTTTTTTCATATTATTTACTTTATTTCTCTGTTGCTTGTACCTCAAAATGTCATTTTCAGTCTTGGATTTAACTGCCTTTTTTCTTAATCGGTCTCGAATCCGAATTTCTCGTCTTATGTCGTTATTGAACCAGTGTTTGTCGTTATGTCTTACAGTTATTAGTTTAGTAGGGATACACTCTTTGGCTATTTTCAAAAATTCTATTGCAAATATTTCACACAACTCGTTGGTGTTTTTAGTGTGCGGAAGCACTGTGTTCCGGTCTATTTCATCTAACTTCTCCGCAAATTTTGATTTATCAGCCCTGTCATAGAGCCATATTTCTCTTTTAAAAGATTTAAAATCGGACATTGGACATTCGAGAAATGCAATAGGTGCATCATGATCACTAATATCGGATGGGGTTTTTAGAACATTAGAAAAGGAACATGTCATAGAGTCACTTATTATAATCGGATCTAGCAGAGTGCTACTATGGTCCGTTATTCTAGTAGGTAGCTTAATTACATTGGTTAGATTGAACAAATTTAATGTGTCAATCAGTTTGTTGTTGTGCGCTGTAAGTAAGTCAGAGTTCAAATCGCCCGTAATAACCATCCTCTCATTGACCTGTAATCCCATTCCGATTGCATGATTTAAACGTGTCCAGTAGTTATTATCTGAATTAGGCGATCGATAAGTGTGACATAATAAAAATGTTTGGCCTCTAACATGGATATTTACAAAAAGGGATTCATCGTCTATTGTTTCGAGTGCATTAATGCGTTTAAGTCCAATACCATCTTTAACATAGATAAGTAAACCACCACCAAAGCTATTTCTATCTTTTCTTACGATATTTGAAGAGAAAGAGTCTAGTTGTATGTTGTCATCAGCGATGTTGGGATCTAAGTGCGTTTCTGTTAATGTTACAATATCAAATTCGTCACAAAAATTATTTAGAAATGCTAGTTTATTTCTGACGGATCTAATGTTCAGACTACGAATGGAAATAAAATTTTCTGATGTATTTGTGTCGTTAAATGACGGTGTATTCGATTCGTTACGAAGATTTGGACCTGGGTTTGTTTCAACATTTCCAATTATGAGGACATGCCTTTCAGTTGTAGGAATAAAACCACTAATTTATAGCCCATGCTTTCAATGCTATTCTGGAATTTTGAACATTAATGGCTACTTTTTCTTAAGTGCAAAAAAGTGGCACTCATTTCATGTCAAAGCTATACCTCATCCTGACCTATTCCAAATTATTCAACATACCTTTAATTGAATATAAGAGCACACTGGTGCTCGGAAATTTGGCTGTACCAATACAGGTGCTTCTGATCTGCACAACAGGGCGAAGTTATTGTGCCCTCCAACTATAATTCCAAAACCTTTTCATTATGCAAAATAAAGTTTCCCCAAGGGTTTTACAGTGATTTGAAGTCCTTAAGCGTTCATCTGACATCAACTTTATCTAAAAATATTGACATTGTTACAGCTATGTGTAGGAATCATTTTGCTTAAAATATGTACTACTTTCTTATATGTTTTTATGACCGGGCCCGAATTAGTGGTTCTATACCTAATATGTTCAAAATACACAAATCTGAGATTTTTTATAATTTAAAAATTTTGCTCTCATATTTGAATAAGGCTTCAAACTTTCTGAATTACAACTTCATAAACTACCGAAATAATTAACTTTTGAGATATGTTTATTAACATTTAGCAATGATTCAAAAATAGGGACGAAAGATACAAGAAGGACATTCAAACTCATAGATTTAAAATAAACTGACAACGCCATGGCTAAAAAAGAAAAAGACAAACAGACAAATAATAGTACACAAGACACAACATAGAAAACTAAAGACTAAGCAACACGAACCCCACCAAAAATTGGGGGTGATCTCAGGTGCTCCTGCTCCACATGTGGCATCCTTTGTGTTGCTCATGTTATTACAAACCCTGTAAATAGTCAAATTCGGTAGGTCACATTCGTGAAAAGGGAACGGATTATAGTTACGACATAATGAACATATATAAGGAACATATCCGATATTATTAACATTTAGTAATGATTCAAGTATTCACAAACAAAATAAATACAGAACTATAACTTTCCCAGCAGCAAAACGAAATCCAAACGCAACACCCAAGAAAAATCGATTACCAAATCAAACTGATCTGTTTTTCTGTGCCTTTGTGAGAGCATCATGAATCGTTTCATTAACGTTTGTGATTTGGTACATTTGTAAAACTCAAGACTGTTTATTTAAAGTTTTTGCAAAATAACTAAATACCAGTTATCAGAAAAATACAGAAAACTGAAAAAATGCAAGAAACTAGATATTTTCTTAACCTTGCATTTGAAGTTTTCCTTTGAAGAATAATTGCCAAACCGAAAAAGACCGGGACTGGCATTTTACTTATCGCATAGTAATACAAATTTCCGATGTTCCGAGAACCACTGTCACAACATTTTGCCGTAAGTAAAACAAAAAGTTGTAATGCAACTTCACCTGCTGTGAACATACCAAATGCTACTAACCTTTTCCATTGCTGGCTAATAGATTTGGTAAGTTTCAATCGATTCGCACTTTTCAAACAGTGTATTTTATCTATATATTGATATAGCTATGTATAAAACAACATGAACAATGAGAGATACTTTTATATTCCCACTTTCACCGACGGATACATTTTTTGCCGTTTTAATTAAAAAATTATATTGTAGTACAATTAAAAGAATGTAAATATGAAAAGGAAATTGTAAATTTAAAATTTACTTTCGGTTTCAACATGTACAACTTTGTAGCCTATATATCTTCACATTGTGTCATCATGGTCATTACAATGTTGATAACATTAAAAAAACACCAAAGACTTGAAACCATACACCGTTTTTAGAAAACAAAATAATGACAGTGGCAGCTGTACAATTTTATAAGTTATAATAGTTTCTTGAAGACAACAGTTCGTACACACTTACCCGATTGAAGATGTCTGAACAAAGCTCAAGTTCGTTGTATGGAAAGCTGTATGAAACAAAGTATATTTCTTCCTGAATGGAAGTCATTAACGTAATATATTCAAAAAGTCCATGTGTTGTCTAATTAATACTGTCAATTTACAAACTATTAAAGTTACTTTGACCCATTATCAAATAATTATCTAACTACGAAGGGATGAAAAAGATATGGAAGCGCCGAGACTGTCACTTTCTAAAATTGTATCATTAGTCGTGATATATTATATATCAGGCTGCTTGCAGTGGCGGATCCAGAACTTTTTGTAAAGGGGGGGGGGGGGGGGGAGCTGACTGACCTAAGGGGGGCCGCTCCAGTCCCGCTTCAGTGATTCCCTATATAATCAACCAAATTTTTCCCACGAAAGGGGGGGGGGCTGGATCCGCCTATGGCTTGATTATTTCAGTGTAGTCTAGAATAAAATGCTGATACGTAGATGCCTTCTACTCTTAATTATGTTATAGTTAGCAGTACATAACCAGTCATCTATATACAAATTTAGATGAATTTGACAGCCACATTATTTGTGACGGTTTTACTTATTTCAATTAGTGTCTTTAATTCATAAGAGATGTACTTTAAGTTGTATTGTAATACTTTCTGACAATCTGAAATAAGATGTATAAGTCATTTCTTTTATTAATTTTCTCAATTCCATGTTATTTAGGATTCATTTAGTCACTGCCAGTTTCTAAAATTGGTTGAGAACATGTTGGCATGCTAACCAGTCCATGTATTCCTTTAATCGCTCAATGTTTTTATATTATATATAAAATATTTTCAATATTGGCAATTGTTATCAGTTTTTTCATCACGGTTATTTACAATCAAAGGTCAATTGAGTTCAGTTTAAAATATCTATCTAGATGCAATAGTCTGATCTGTAATGGAACCAATTTTGTCCTACTCCCGATTGTGACATTTTGAAAACACGGATATAAATACTTTATGATGGAAGGAAAAAATGGTATTCAAGATAAAATGTAAAATCCCAAAAATACTGAACTCCGAGGAAAATTCAAAATAGAAAGTCCCTAATCAAATAGCAAAATCCAAACGAAAGGATAAAAACTGTCATATTCATGACTTGGAACAGGCATTTTCTTATGTAGAAAATGGTGGATTAAATGGTGGATTAAACCTGGTTTTATAGCTAGCAAAACCTCTCATCAAACGAAAGGATAACAACTGTCATATTTCTGATTTGGACAGGCATTTTCTCATGTAGAAAATGGTGGATTAAACCTGGTTTTATAGCTAGCTAAACCTCTCATCAAACGAATGGATAACAACTGTCATATATAAAGGCAACAGTAGTATACCGCTATTCGAAATTTATAAATCGATTGAGAAAAAACAAATCCGGGTTACAAACTAAAACTGAGGTAACTTCAAATATATGAGGAGAACAACAACACCAACCGAAACTCAACACTAAAATGCAACACACACAGAAATGAACTATAATATAACAATGGCCATTTTCCTGACTTGGTACAGGAAATTATAAGAAAAATGGTGGGTTGAACCTGGTTTTGTGGCTAGCCAAACCTCCCGCTTTTATGGCAATGTTAAATATAACATTAAAATGACAAGATTACATGACAGGACTACAATACAAATAAATGGGAGAACATACAGGACAGAGACACACACAAATAATAGCTATCAAAAGTTACCAGGCTTATAATTTAATACGCCAGACGCGTTTTCGTCTACATAAGACCCATCAGTGACGCTCAGATCAAAAATGTTCGAAAGCCAAAACAAGTTCAAAGTTGAAGCGCATTGAGGACCAAAAGTTCCAAATACGGCTATGGTTATATGCCTGGGACAAGAAAATCCTTAGTATTTAGAATAATTCATACTTTTGCAAACAGTAAATATATAAAAATAACTATATAATAGATATATATGTTAACACCGATGTGGTGACTAACTACAGAAAAAAAACGCATACGTAAAGCAACCTAAATCAGCACATAAAAAAGGCACAGCCGAACAACGTATTATAAACCTGAATTCCAAAATGTTTTATGAAGGCTTAGATGTGAAAACATGAAAATATTTTTGTTTGTGTTATATGTATTTGTTATAGAAAGAATTTGGTTAAAAACTCCCAAAATGAATTCTGAATCAAATGAAATATGGTTTATATAGTTATCGTTTCAACTAATTTCCTTCAAAATTTTTTGACTGTAGATGCATGCAGTAATAAGTCTTGTGAAGTAGCCAGAGCAGATTTATTGAGACTTCCGTCATTCGAGGACTTGATCTAAATTCTAAGGCACTTATTTGATCTGCTGACAGAGAGCTCATGTAATTAAACAGTACAGTTAGAATATTGCACTATGTACATTTACTCATGCGTTTTATCTGTTATGGTCACTATTTAAGAAAAACCATCAATTATTTACGATTTACTTTACGATCTATTGTCTACATAGAAAAAAGAGGATGTGTCAGTACTTTATCACACTATATTTACCATTTTTGGTTCGTCTTATTTAGTTTATTCGTGGGTTTTTTTTTGGGGGGGGGGGGGGGGGGGGGGGTTGAAGGGGTCGAGTGCTGTGCATGGTTCACGCAAAATTTTCTACACAAAGCATTGACTCTTCTATACAATGATAGTAATTCATGGACTGCGCCCGTCTAGTAGTTGAAGTACAACCTTTGATAAAAGTGTGTGTCCATTTGTTAATTTGATGCTAAAACACATAACCATTGAAATGCAGATAACAGATGACTCTTGTAAAAAATTTGCAACACTCCCTGCAAATTTAACATAAACCCCTTGCAACAACTATCTAAAGAACATTTAAGTGGCATGCTACAAAGTCGAATGTTTGCCCTTTTCAAACAAACTCTCATTGTCCAATGTTAGTTAAGATATCCGTTATGGTTAACATACCTAGCAGAACCAAACTAATGTAATAATTTTTGTTCTCTCTTATTTTTACTTCAGATGTTAAGCAACAGAAGATTAATCAATCAAAATTGAATTCCATGTGTCGTTGATGGGTTATGTTCGTTATTGTTCTGTGGTTTGCATATTGTGTCGGCTGTTGTGTTGTTTTTGTGCGTTTCTCTGTTGTGGGTGTTCTTGTGTGTGTTTGTGATGTGTTTCTGACACGTAGTGATTCAGCGTTATTTTTTAACATTGTCATAAATCGGGAGGTTTGGCTGGCCATTAAACCAGATTCAGCCGACCATTTTTTCTTAAAATGTCCTGTACCAAGTCAGAATATAGCAGTTGTTATCAAATAGTTTGTTTCTATGTGTGTTCGCGTTTGTTTTTGTTGCATTTTGGTGTTCCTGTTGTTCCTTTGTTTTCCTCTTAAAGTTGGTGGGATTCCCTCGGTTTTGGTTTTAACTCGGAGTTGTTTTCTCTCAGTCAATTTATGACTTTTGAGCACCGATGTACTACTGTTGTCTTTATTCAGAGCTGTTAACAAAACGAAAAAAAATATCCTGCGTTGTTAAAACAAGGACACACTTCTCTTTATGTACTCTTTTGTCAAATGTGAACAAAATTACAGAAAATGAAAACAACTGTTTTTGTTATTTATTCGTTTTTATGGAAATCAGATTCCGAGTTACTATGTGATTTCATCACATGTGTATTACAAATGTTAATGCTTGCACTTGTATACCAATACGGATGTGATTAAGTAATTGATAACATAAAGTTTTGTGAAGTCATTGTTAAAACAAATTCCGTTAGAAAAGTTGACAATAAACTCATCATAGATACCAGGAATGAATTGTTTTTTTTATTTGCGCCAGACGCGCGTTTCGTCTACATAAGACTCATCAGTGACGCTCGAATAAAAAATAATCATCTTCTCTTCTCAGCGTTACCTCCCATTTTTACGATCTGATGACAGACTATGTATGTTTTTTTTTCTCGGAAATACTCCCACCATAATAGGTATAACACTGTCTGTCATTTGCTACGCCTTCTACAAATGTGCGGCATCCTTACTGTATACTAGTGTTCCACTTGAATTGACACATATGAGCTTGTTCCAACAATAAACTGGTTATGAATATTATCATATAATATAAAGTAAATCAGTAGAACCTGGTTTAATTGTTTTTAGAATTTTTCCATTGATGTGTAGTGGATTGATAATGCTACTCTTCAATGTAAAAAATTGAAAACAACACGTTTAATAATTTCATGTGTTCGAAGCGCTTTTCTGGATTTACCTTCATCTAATTGCGTCATTTTCAGTGGCAATAATACCATAACATTTATATTCAATTTTAATTTTGTTCAACTTCGTTATCTTTGTGGTGTTGGGATTTGTATAGGGATCTCATTAAGTTGTAACAACAGTTTTGTCTGCACAAAGATCAAGGGGGAAAAGGTGTAACATAATACATGAGGATACCACAATCATAAGTACAAAATGAAGTAGTTATATGCCATACCTAAATGCTTGTCAATTTTTTCAGGAATATGGTGTTTACGATAGATTTTTGAAAGTTTTTGTTAAATTTATTTCCAACTTTTCCAAATTCCGAACGATTTAGAGCTGGGTATTTTATGCAGGTACCTGTTTATTGTTGAATTGTTTATTCGCCTTTTTCAGGACTTTGTCAAATTGTCTGCCAATTTGTATAGAAAAAAGTTTTTAAAAAATCCAAACATACCAAACTTTAAAGGATAATTCAAAACGACAAGTCCTTTATAAAATAACAAAATCAAAAGCTCAAACACATCAAATGTAAGGAAAACAACTGCCGTATTCCTGACTTGGTACCTAATTAAACCTGGTTTTATAGCTAGCTTAAGCTCTAACTTATATTACAGTCATATAGATGTGTGAGCAAAACAAACATATTTCATTCTCAATTTGATAATAGGTAAAAATGTTTTTCTAATAACCTTCAATCTGGGAGCACATTTTCTATTAAAAGAGAGGCGAAAAATACCAAAGGGACATAAAAAAACTCATAAGTCGCAATAAACTTACAACGCCATGGCTAAAAAAAGAAAACGGACAGGCAATAGTTCAC